TTATCACTAGGGTAGGGCATTAAAAATCATAACTATATAACGGAATAGATTAACTGATCATTTTTTGGTTAACCATACCAATTTCCCCCCAGTTTTCAATTGATTAATTGAAAAAACCAATATAACATATCCATATAAAATTATGAATTCTGAATTATAATTTACAAAACTAAACAACTTTGCTCTTTTAGCTTTTACTTTCACTACTCATTAGTTTATTATATTTATTATTGTTGATTAATGATTAACAATGGGAATATTAATATACTTGTAAGAGTTGCGTAAGTTTTATGTTTATTTTGACTCAAATGTATGAGAATTATTTTATATGTTAATTTACTATTTATTAACTAATGTTTCGATTGATACAAATATGTGTTTTCTTTTAACAATGTTTTTATAATAATTGGAACTTGTTGATCTGATTTTCAATGTGTTTCTTATATATTGTTATTTTTTCATGGTTACTTGGTTAACGTATTAACTGCACTCAAATTTTGGTATGTTCAATGATGATGAAAATATACTAATAAAAATATCGGTTAACTGAATTTGGTTAATCAAAATGTTGTTTGCCTACCCTACTTATGACCCAGTTGAGTGGATTCCTACTCAATTCTTCTATCATGGTATCGGAGCATGTTTTGGCCCACCTCATGTGTCCTAGTTGTTTTTCTGGAAGTTCATTACCATCCAGAGTAGGGCTCGGGAGTCTTTAACCCGGGACATACTCAGCACCCTGTAGCCCATTTAATCCAATTATCTATTTGGAAGTATGAACCAAGAGTCTTTGGTCCTTAAGCTGTTGGCGCTACATTTCCGTCCTTTTGTTTCTGTGTAAAGGGAGTCCATTTGCAAGTGGTCAATGCTCTGGCTTGGTTGTCCACTTGTTGGGGAGGGTTAAAGAATCCCAAATCAAAAAATGGAAAAAGAATTATGAGTTAATAAGATGCCGAGTTGAGCTAGATAATCAGTTGACTTCGATCTTCTAAATGGTTTCATACTTTGGTTAGCCAACATGAAGGTTCACTGATGTCTCGCTTCCTCGCCCTTCCAACTTTTTCCTACTTAGAAGATAACTTAGATTTTAGGATTGCAAACCCAAGTTAATGGAACTGTACAAAAACCCATGCTCTGTTGTTACGGAATAGGGATTAGGGATCGATAATTCCACGATGACAAGATTGACACTGTGAACATGACTCAAATTTTCAATCAGCAATTTTTCCTTTGATTTAGATAGGTGATGGGTGCTTGGATAATAGGATCATGTGAGTCTACTATCTTGATAGCAATTCCGAAAATAATCTGGAACTTGACCTGGCATGAAAAACGATCTGTTTGAATTTTTAGGATACAGGGCCTTAATTTTGTTTGTAAGCTGCATGCTTACTTTTAATTTGCTGCATTCTTCTTGTGTTACAGATGTGCAGCAAAGTAATTCAATCTAGTTCTTTAGTGGTTGTTTTTGAAACACTATTGTCATCAGCAGCAACTACAGTGGATGAGGAGAAAGGAAATCCGTCTTGGCAAGCATGTGCTGACTTTTACATAATGTGTGTTTTATCATGTCTTCCATGGGGTGGAGCTGAGCTTGTAGAGGTATCCATGTGGCATCTGCATATAAATAAAACTATATAATGTGCATCCTTTGCACCTCTTTGATAAAATATCAAAAGTGGGAACTGTTTTGTTTACTATGTAGCAAGTTCCTGATGAGATTGAAAGAGTAATGGTTGGCATTGAAGCTTACTTAAGTATTCGCAGACGTGTTTCAAACTCAGGTTTTTCCGCCTTTGAGGTCATTGATGATGTTGGCAGTGGTCAAAATGAAAAGGTTGGTATTTTTTTTGAAACCCGTTGACCAATAACTTCCTATCTTTTCCTCCTCAAGCCGGATTTTATCTGTTAAAACTCCAATGTTTGGTTCATTTGTTTTGGCTTGATAAATTGCCTTTACAGAGTAGAAGATGAAAAAAACATTTGATGAAAAGCTAGTTTACTATGCTCTATGAAGTTGAACTTTGGTGGTCTCTAGTTGTCATATGTGACACCATGTATATTCAATAAAAAGATTAATGCATAAACTGATAAACTATGTAGCATAGAAACTAGAAAGGGAGACGAGATGAAACGGAGACGCGGAGACGGCTATTTTGAAAAAATGGGGAGACAAAACGCCGGGGAGACGGTATATATATGTATATGTGTGTGTGTATATATATATATAACTCTTTCTATCCCACATATGTTTTTCCACTATTGTAGTATTTTATTTGGATCATGTATATCTAACATTGAGAAAAACTCAAGAATTAAATCTAAGGCCCACATAGGGATAGAAGCCCAAAAATTAGATCAGGGAAGTGGCTATATAATAAGCAAAGCAGGGAAAACAAAAAACCCTAGCAAGCTTCCGCAAAAGGGATAATTTTGGGAGATGATTGATTCTGCGACTCTCTTCTTCTCTCTCTTTTTTTACTTTTTCTTCTTTCCCACTTTTTCCTCTTTCCTATCCAACTTTACTTCTCTTCTTTCCAATTATATCGTCTCCCTCGTGTCGTCCAAGCCGTTTCAGGAAAGGGAGACGCGTCTCCCCGGCGTCTCCCCGACGTCTACCAGCATTTATTTAAATTTTAAATTAAAGAAACGCCACCTGGAGTTTCCGAGACGTCTCCAGGCGTCTCCCACGCGTTTCCGCGTGTCCAAGGTCTCCGATACGGGTACGGCATGCTACCTGGCGTTTCCGTGCAACATAGCTGATAAACATTCACTGGTTTTTATTCTCACAAACCACACTACTAGGAGCTTATTAGAAAACACTGATATAGATTATTGTATATCAGTGTTATTTATCTTTAAATGCTATGCATTTTGGTTTCCCCAAACCAAATTATGGATTATGGAATGCATTTTTTACAATCACAAGCATTTGCTAACTATTGATAATTGTTATCTTCAGGATTTCTTAGAGGACCTGTGGGATAGAGTTCAAGACCTTTCCAATAAAGAATGGAAAGTTGATAGCGGTATTTCTGCAATATACCCTTAGAACAAATTATTCCAATGCAATTTTAAACTAGTAGTCATATCTTGTTCTTGTAATGCAGATCTTGTGCTAAACGCATCTGGTTAAATGTCTTCCATAAGTGGCTGAGGCTTTCTTGTGTTAAACTTTGCTGTTGATTTGTTGTGACTGTGGGAACTTGTTCAACATGAAATTTTTGATATAATGTCTTGTTTTAGATTATTAAGTTCAGTAAGATTTGGAAGAGAGCATTAGTCTCTGGGCATAATCAGGGATGATTATTTTCTTATACCTAATAAAGATGAATTATGTGCTCATAAGTGCAGCAATTAAGTGTTATGTTTTTTAAGATTGCATATCAAATTTGCTTTAGTCATACTTAAATTTTTTGTTCTTTTTATATTGACAAAACCACAGTTTGTGTGACCCGGACAACACACACAAAGAGGTCTATTTTACATGTAATCCTCAGGTTTTGCAAGCCAAATCTTTATAGGCTGGGTTTGCAAATGCCATAATTCATTTTATGCCCCATATTTTTGTAACAATTAATTTTGTTTCGGCTTCCTGTTCTTGTGTATACAGTTCTCAACCTGCAAATCTTGCTAGATTCAAGAGCATCATTGTGCTGCTTTTTGGTTTATACATCTAACAACTTATGCTGGATTCTTGTTCATTTTGAACATCTCTCTGATTGTATCTCCTGTTTTCAGTTCCCAGACCACATCATTCTTTTGAGGCACAGCTTGTTGCTGGGAAGTCCCATGATTTTGGTCCTATAAGCTGTCCTGAACAACCTGGGACACTCTATGCGACTTCTCCCGGTAGACAAAGGAATGAAGCTAATTTGATGTATCCACAGAGGATTCGGAGACTCAATATATTTCCTGCAAGCAAGTTTGAGGTAGCTAACTATTTCTGCTGACAATGCTGTTGATATTAAGCATGCTTTGATGGTTTCTGTTACCATTTTCGTATTTGTTGTTTGTATAAATGAATGCTCTATGCTAAGCTCACATTTCTAAGTTGTTCTAAGATCACATAATTAAAGTGGTTTGACTTATGCAGTTTATTTATAGTCTCATTTGACTCATTTCAAATCTCATATTGACTGCTCTCCGATATAATTATTTGTGATATTTAGCTGCTAATCGCCAAATTAGGATGTATTAATGGTTACACAATTTGCTCTCAGTTGCTTATTTTGTCCGTTTTTGATTTTGACTGTCAGGATATTCAGCCAATCGATCGTTTTGTTGTTGAAGAATATTTGTTGGATGTGCTCTTATTCCTGAATGGCTGGTTTGTTCACTCTGTTAACTTGTCATTACTAAGACTTGCTATCACTTGCTTTTTCCCTATGTTACATTGTGGAGTGGGCTTAGCTTATCAAATTTCTTCTGCACATTGCATTGCTCCTGAAATAATATTTCTGTTTGGGATGTTTTTTGTAACACTTGCAGTTCTGATATGATCATTAGCACCTTGTTACTTTCACATTTTTTACTTCTCCAGTACAGCATCACATTACTCTGCTCATGAGTGATGAGACTACAATTTCAACTAGGGGTGGGCAAACAAGTCTTGGAACTGTGGGTCGGAACTTAACTGCATGGTTTGGGGCGAGTTAGGGATGGGTCCATCAATAGACGATACTATATTTAATATTGTATTGTTAGTTTTTTATTCGATACAAGGATTATTTTCCACCAATTGTATAAACAAATAGACTATATATAGTATATTGAATATTGTATTAATAAAATTATATTGTATTAATAAAATTATGTATATAATAAATAGATTATAGTCAACCTGCTCTTGTTTGTTTTGCATATTTAATTGGTGATTTATTTGATTTGTTGGATATTATAGTTTGTTTTTCAAAACATTTACTACGTATTTCATTTATGTAATTTGTGGAATGGTTTCACAATCCGTAGTATTCTATTTTTATATGAGTTTTTCACTTGTTCCCAAAGTTTAAGATCACGATTTAATAGAGTAATGTTCATGAACCCTTGGACTCGTGGAACTGAAATGTTTGAAAAATGTCACCTTAGGGCTGGATTCAACTATTTTCTTCAACAGTCCGACCCAACTTGGACCAGCCATTCATTTTTTTTACACAAGCAAAGACTGGGTCAAAAGAAAGTTGGCCTGACCTGGTCCATGCCCACCCTTATTTTCAACTGCATATGCATTGGTTCTTATTTTGTTGTTTTGCTTGTTGCAAAGCCAGTCGAAAGGAGTGTACTTCGTACATGGTTGGACTACCCGTTCCTTTCCGATATGAATACCTTATGGCAGAGACTATTTTTTCTCAGGTAATAACATTTTCTGATTTGTTTTAGATGGTTATAGTATTGTTTATAGAATATGTCAATATTTTACTTCCCATTGGTCCAATAGAACAAATAATCTACTGAATTCAGAGAGTAGAATGAAAGAGATGTCATAAAACAAGTTCTGTTGGTGGGGGGTGGATGGTGTAGACTTTAGACTTCTTTAGGTAAACTCTAACTAGAGAATTGTACACAGTTGACATTGTTTCATGTCTGGACATATGCCATTTTTTAATCTCGTATTACATTGTATTTTACTCTTTGGTCATGCAGCTGCTTCTGTTACCTAATCCTCCATTCAAGCCAATTTACTACACATTGGTCATCATTGATTTATGCAAGGTAATACCATAATATTATAACTAACTTGTTGAAGTTTTCCCTTAAAATGTATTATTCCGGTAATAATTTGCAGACATTTTTCACTTAAGACACGTTCTTCTAACTTTATGGATTTTTATTTTTAGGCTCTTCCAGGGGCGTTTCCTGCTGTGATTGCTGGAGCTGTACGTTCTCTTTTCGAAAAAATAGCAGATTTAGATATGGATTGCAGAACACGTCTCATCTTATGGTTCTCACATCATTTGTAAGTTTGCATTTTAAGTGCTTAACACAATTTAAATGCCAAATTTCTAATTTCCAAAGTGCAATATTTTTTGTACCAATCCAACCTTATATTTCTTCCGATGACAATCAGGTGTCCCCCGAGTCATCAAGACACATGATTAGTAAACATTAAATAATCCCTCCTCCCCTAAAATTAAAATCACAGTTACTCTTCACATGACCAAATTATATTTTCATTCTTTACATAATTTCTTTGATAATTTGTCCAAACAATACTCCCTCTGTCCCAAAACTGAATTCACAAACACTATTCACTGATCAATTTTTTAGTTCTTTACTTTTTTTCATTATTCATTTATTAAAATAATAGTCATGTCACGTCTTGTTTCACAGAGCATTTGTGGTTTTTAGTTATATATTTTTTATTTTAAAGTTTTGTAGCATAAGTGCATAACTTAAGTAAATTGAATTGAAAATGAATTCAGTCAACCATCGTACACGTTTTGAGAATTTTGTTTTAGGACAGAGTTGTGTCACCTCTTGTTTTATAGATCATTTGATGTAGTGCTTAATCATGTAAGTTTTATTTTAAAATTTGTACCATTATTTGAATAAATTGAATTGTAAACAACTCTGTCAACCATGGTAATACCTACCGTTAGCTACTATATGGGATGTAGTTTTAAATATATAAATTTATTTATAAGTTCTACACCAATTTTAAAATATTTTCTGTCAATCGTCCCAAACCATAAAGTGGCTTTAATTTTGGTATTTTTATGTGTTGCCTCTCTTTTCATCCCTTACTGGTTACTGCATTGCTTCCAGATCAAACTTCCAGTTTATATGGCCATGGGAGGAATGGGCTTATGTGTTAGATCTCCCAAAATGGGCTCCACAACGTGTTTTTGTTCAAGATGTTTTGGAAAGGGAAGTCCGTCTATCGTATTGGGACAAAATTAAACAGGTTTAGAAACAATATTAATCGTAGATGTGCACTTAAGTATATAAATATAAGAAAATGGGTTTATAGTTTCATTTGTTTATCCATTCATACAGAGTATAGAGAATGCACCTGCTCTGGAGGAATTGCTTCCACCCAAAGGAGGGCCAAATTTTAAATACAGTGTCGATGATGGTACTAATCATGCAGGACATGCACTCTCTGTAGAGCTCCGTGGTATGGTTAAAGGAAGGAAAACTGCTCGTGAAATTATATCTTGGATGGATGAGGATGTATTTCCAGTCCACAGTTTGGAGACTACTTGCACAGTAGTTATTCAAACCCTTCTTGACATTGGTTCAAAAAGCTTTACTCATCTGATCACTGTCTTGGAGAGATATGGCCAAGTTATTGCTAAAATCTGCACTGACGAAGACAAACAATTTATGTTGATAGCTGAACTGAGTTCTTTCTGGAAGAGTAATGGTCAGATGACAGCAATTGCCATTGATCGATTGATGGGTTACCGGCTTATCTCTAACTTGGCCATTGTGAGATGGGTTTTCTCCATGGAGAATGTGGATCAGTTTCATACTTCTGACCGCCCCTGGGAGGTAGATCATTGCTTTCGACACTGATTCTCTGGTTCATTTTCTTTGGAGGAACATGATTAATGTATAGCTGTTAGTATGATAATCTACGTGTATTCTCATCATCCTGAAAAACTAGGCATTTTTATTCTTTTAGAGAGTATTATTTGTTGAAGTTGTTAACCTCAATGGCCTATTTCATATACTTGTTCATTAACTTATGATATTGTCCACAGATTCTAAGAAATACAGTTAGTAAGACATACAACCGAATTTGCGATTTAAGGAATGAAATTTCCACACTCAAGAAAACTCTCATGATGGCTGAAGATGCTGCTTCAATATCCCAATTAGAGTTGGATGCATCTGAGTCTAAGCTCACTCTCTTGGATGGTGTACCTGTTGTTGGTGAAAACCCAGCTAAAATGAGACGTCTTAAAGCAAATGCTGAAAAAGCAAGAGAGGAGGAGGTATCTGCTCGTGAGTCTCTAGAAGCAAAAGAAGCTCTTCTAGCCAGGGCAGTTGGTGAAAATGAGGTATATCTTGATTACTTCATTTGTCCCACTGTTTTGTCCTGTTTTCCATTTTGACATGTCCCAAAATTTTTCCCATACCTTATTTGGTATGATTACTGGTGCTCAAATCAATTCATTCTTCACCAATTCAAAGTCATTCCCAAAATACCAATTTTTTTTAAAAAACAATTGTGTGCTACTCTCTTATGTCCCAAAAGTAGTGGGCCAGGAGTACATTGTCTATGCACACACACCTTCTGGTTCTATTACCTATTACAATGACCATAAATACAAGTCTTTTTTCTATTTATTAATACACACTTATTTTTCTTTCTTTCACAATTTTTCCTTCTTGAAAATGCTAAAACACATCCTCCATAATGTTCAAGGACATATAGGTGAAGTATGTACAGAGTATAATTTTAAATGCTTTTAGTCATTTTTTTTTGTTTGTGTCAAAACAAAGTCGTGCCATATAATGAGTAGAAGTATATACTGTAAACACTTTTTTTAGTACAGATATCAAATTAACTCTAAATTGATGATAATCATTTTGATGAAACAATCTTGAATCTAACACTTGAAAAATGAAAATTTGCTCCCATGAAATTGTGGTACGTTTGTACCCATTATGCTTTTCAATAACAATATCAATAACAACATCTAACATGATCCCAATTCCCAACACCAACGGGAATGGCAAGGTTGAGATAGGCAGGTTTCTATATATTAATGTATCTTTCAATTTGGATGCAATATCGTAAGGTTTCTTCTGGATTAATTGAATCTCTTTGCCTGATCTGTTGAATGTATATCCTATGTACAGGAATTGTTCCTTTGCTTGTACAGAAACTTCTCATCTGTCTTGGCAGTACCACTTCATGATGTATTTGTAGATGGAACCTTGCGATCTTTTGGTCAGGCTCAAGGGATGAATATAGATCTTGAAGATTCTTCTGCAATGGAGGTGGATGAGGATAATGAAAGACAAAAGAAGAGGTGCTTTTTATATGATAATTATCACCATCATTGTCATCTACATCGTTATAGGCATATAGACACTGAAGTTTAGAATTGGCTAAGTCTTAGTAGTATTCAGAAATTCTGAAAGTAGCACTTAGTAGACAATAAAGACTTTTAAACTGACATAAAGATTAGTACCTCAAATGCACAGAATTATAAACCACCTCACAAATTTATGAATTCCCTGTTCGCTTTATTAAATCTGGTTACTGAATTATTAACTGGGGTATCCAAGTATTAGCCCAAATAAAATTAATAAACCTAATAGTGAAAAATACTATACACTTGGTTTTTAAAACTCCGTGCCATTCATTTAATTTTATCTCTATAAAGTGTCTATTAACCCCATTTATTTTTGATATGGTTGTTCAGTTTTCAATTTGATTGGGCGGGTTGAGTTAAATCGCTGTTTGAAATTCTGATACAGGATTGCCTACAATCTTGGTGAAAAAGAGCAATGGTGTTTGTCAACTCTGGGTTATCTCAAGGCATTTACTAGGCAATACTCTACTGAGGTATAGTGGTTTCTCATTTATGAATCATTTTGGAGATGAATATGGATTAGTGGAGTGTACAAACAATCTCGCTTCTCTTGTCAATAATCCAATTAGTTTTACGGAGTATATATAGTTAGTTTCTCAAACCATAGTACTCCCTTTGTTCCTTGTTGACTTAAACTTTGACTTCACACGCTTTTTAGTAATGCAGAAACTATGTGTTGAGATTTATCCCTATGAGAGAAACCCTATTAACCAACGGATACTTCCCTTAAAAGCAACATGTAGATAGTTTTCGGACAAACAAAAAAGAATGAATGAGGACAAAATAGGGACAGAAAGCTTAAGGCCATCAATGTTCTTATGCTTCCATTTTTGGGTAAACGGGAGACATATATATGTAATGCTGCTTTCATCTGTTGCTTAACGCTATGTGCTCTACAGATATGGCCACTTGTGGAGAAGTTGGATGCTGTAGTACTGACCAAAGATGCTCACCCTCTCTTCCGGAAAGCCATCTATTCCGGTCTGGGAAGACCTATGAATGAATGACCTCTAACTTTTTCGCAGTTTTGTTTGTTATTCCTCTGGACATTCTTTAGGTAATTTTATCGTAGCTGCGAAAAGACCAGGCAAATGCGCCGTACAATTTCTGATTCAGTTTAGTCTGCCTGTATAAGTTGGTTTAACTATTGTCATTCTTTTAAGTGAGGAATCATAACATAATGTAGGAAGTCACTTTTGGCAGTTGCTAACTTGCCATTGTAGTAGTAGTAGTCTCACGAGTTTGCTTCTGTTTTTTATTTAAACTCTGGCATTCTGTTTTGAAAATTGTGTTGAGTTGCACAACTATTCAATACTTGTAGACGAAATAAAATTCGACCTGATCTGGTGTTGATTGATTTGTGATTTGACTTGAAAAAACTGGATTTTGGATAAAGATTTTGTTTGTTAAACCCGAAATGATCCATTAAAAATAGGTCCACCCCAACTGAACCAACTTGATCGATTTGTTAGGGCGAGGTTGGTTTTTTCAAAATCATGTACTTGCTCTGTCTCAATTTAAATCGTCTGTTTCGATTTACAATGTTTGATTGAAGTTATTTTCAATGAAATTTATTAAACAAATAAAGTGAGATTAAAAAAAAAACTTTACGAAACAAGAAATAAAAGGTGAAATAATTATATTATTTTATTCAATGAGTAATGAAAATAGGGAAAAGTTTATAAGGTTTGATTTTGTGAATAATAAATAAGCAACTCAATTTGGGACGAATGAGTAGTACTTTAGTATGTGATCTAAAGTGATATAATTAATGTTATGTGTTTTCCTAATTGTTCCTTTTTACATAAATGATTCTTTTAATAGTATCTTGATTATTCCACTTACACCATCATGTCCAATGTTAAAGAATCACTAAAGCATGTAACATATGCTACATTCACATTTTCGAGTCATTTTCTTAATCAAGAATAAAATAGACTTACTGTGATACATGTATCGACCACACAATGATTGCGCTTTATAGGTCAATTTGTATTAATTTTTAATTTTGCCGCACGGGAAGAACTATACATCTGCTTTTAGTGTATAACTTTGGACGAAAGGAGAATGCTAGAAATACCCCAATAATTGTGTACACTAAGACAAACACAAACTAATGTCTATGACATAAAATATACTTGCCTTTGGTGTGCAAATGACTTACAGCTATTGAGATATCTAATAATTTTCCAGAACGAAATGTTAATGTGCAACAAAAAAAGAGTAATGTGTAGCAAAAAACGAATGGATCGGAAGAAAGTATATTTTAGACCAAATTGTATTAATTTTTAACCTTGTCGTATGGGAAGAACACTACAACCATATCTAATAGTCTAAATTTAATTTAGATGAAATGCTAATGTGTAAGTCGGACTAAATTCACCCACTTTGACACAAAGAATTTAACGATAAATATTTTGCGGACATATGAAAATAACAATCGCCTGTAAAACATTTTACGGACATAATAATAATCGTATGTAAAACACTAAATATTTTACAGAGTATTTGTTAAAATTTTGTTTTGGGTTTCTAGTCAATTTGCAAATAAAAAAAGTGGAGCAATTGGGAAAGATATTTAAAAAAGAGTAAATTCTCAAAATAGTCCTTTGTAATAAGGTGTTTTTCCAAACCAGACTTCAATATGTTTTAATTACCTACGTGGTCCTCTATAATTGAGATTTATTGCCAAGATGGTCTTTCGTAAATAATGTTACTCAAATAAGGATTAATTGAGGGCATTTTGGTATTTTTTATCCGCTAAATTTAAAATTAATTCTTAAAATGATCATTTATAAAAAAGTGTTTTCCCAAAATAGTTTTTTCTAATTAAAGATGTGTATTTAGCTTGAAATTTAAAATATTTTTTATATGTTTTAAATAATTCATGAATTACTTATAGTCAATGTATTTTTTTCAATTTTACATTTACTTGTACTGAAATAACTGTTTCAAGAATATATTTTAAACTTGGATGATCAAAATATCAAAATATCTCTCAATTAATCATCATTTGAGTAACATTATTTACAAAGGATTATATTGAAAATAAATCTCAATTATGGAGGACAATATAGATAATTAAAATTTTTTAAAGTCTGAATTAGGAAGACACCTCATTACAAAAAAGATCATTTTGGAAATTTCATCTAAAAAATTAAAAAATGTACCTTGTCTCGTCTTGTTGAGTTGTTGGGGAAATTGTGCACATTGTTAGACAAATTGTAATTGTGAAAGATGGTTGCACTTTGGGAGCGAGAAAACTGTTTAGGAACACACCCCTTCCCTTCCAAGCGTATGTACCCACTGCCTCTGCCATTGACGCCTTGCTTTCGGAGTTCGTAGATGCGAAAAAGGATGGCTGTAATTTCTCGTATGTCGACACTCGTTCGCTGCCGCAATCTTTCTCTTTGCCGCTCAGCCTCAGCTCGCATGCAGGCCGGATGTTCCCGAGCGGTAAGTTTCCCATTATTGCTTGCCCTTGGATACTGAACCAAAGCTTTTTGATCGCGTGTTCATTTGGTAAAATTTGTACTCTTGCCTTTCAGATTGATTGTTTCCCTTCTCACTCACTCTTCTTTGTTTTTTTTATTATAATTGAAACGAATGATCAATTAAAGTGATGTTGTAATCCAGGATTACCGTGTATGTTGCCGGATATATGCATGATTTCAAATTTTGATTTTTAAGTTTGATTTCAAGAAATCAACCTAAATAGTAGTAAAACATTGAGAAAGTAACTGAATAGGAGCTCCATGTTTATATCCCAAAATAAGAGTTTGCACCGTGGTAATGTGACACGGTATTTGGACATTTTACAATACTTTTTGTTAATGTATATGGTCATGATTGACACTGTACATGCATTTTAAATCCGATTTCAGGAATAAAAACATGGATCTCCTATTTTGGTTATTTTCAATGTTTTTCTCCTACTTTAGTCTTTTTCCCTTTGATTTCTTACTTTGAGTGTCCTTTTTCACTTTTACATTTTTCTTTTTGGATGTTTCAAAAACACTTTACACTTACTTTATAACCCTTTTTTCCAACAAATGATAGCCAATGAAAAAAATTGATGATGATTACCAAGACTTGACTTTTTTAGGAACATAGGGAATATTTTAGGTCAACAAACAACAAAGTGGTTGCAATGTGTTTTGTTGTGTACGAGTAATGATTTGTGACTCGGAAGTGTTCACTAAACACATTTATGAAAGAAAAAAACCATTACGTAGCAAAACATATTTTCAAATGAATGCTTTACTTTAACGTCAAAGGCATCTAAGTGCATATTTGATTATGATACAACAACAACCCATTTAATCCCACAAAAGTAGGGTCTGGGGTACGTAGACCCTGTTTGTGATGCATATGATCTGCCCCTGCATTGTTTATTCAACTATGACATTAAGACATTAACATGTTTACAATATTTGCTAAAAATTCGGTAGAATTTGTGTGTGACTTGTGAGTGCCTTTTTCTGAAATCAAACTTATCTCAATAGGGTTTGAGACCTAAATTGTTTAATGGCTAGGTGTGTACTGAAGCATCAAGTGTAGCTGCTCACCTAAATAGATCAGGGTTGCTGAAAAGTCAGGCCCTTATTGGAGGGAAATGGGTTGATTCCAATGATGGAAAGACCATAAAGGTTCGTAATCTATGAATTTTATATACGGTTATACACAGGAAAAAGAAAAGAAAAATATGCAGAAAGATAGAAACAGCAGGGTGAAGCAATTCTGAATTTTGACATGTGGATCACTATATTACTTCAAGAGTGTTTTAATAATTGTTGCAGGTTTACAACCCTGCAACAGGGGAGGCAATTACTGAAGTCCCTTTCATGGGACGGAAAGAGACTAATGATGCAATCACTTCAGCATTCGATGCATTTTGTTGTAAGGCTTTTATCAATTTTTTGTGGTGCTCCGCTTTGTTTCTCCTTTTTTAATACTCCTTCCGTCCTGAATTAATTGTCGAGTTTGACTTACGGAGTTTAAGAAAAATGTTGAAAAATAAAAAGTGACTGGTTGAAATTTGTTTAGAAGAGAGAGAAAGATTTTGAACCACATATTCTTTACTTTATTAGGTAAGTAAGGAAGTACGACAATTATTTTGGGATGGACTAAAAAGGAAAGTAGGACACCAGGACGATTAATTTAGGACGGAGGGACTATAATTATAGACACTATAAGTAACCTGACCTAGTATTGGAAGTCACAACATCTCTAAATCTATATTTTGCCAAATTCTATTTTTCTTGTAACATATGCGTTGTTTTGATAGTTCCATGATTATATAATTCAGTCTAATATTCCCACAATGCCATCTGTTAAATATATTTACCATATATATTTATGTTAAGTATATTTAATGTATTTATTATTGCATCTTTGTATTATTAGTAGTTACCTTTTGTATAGGTTTCCTACTCGTATTAGGAGTCCCGTCCTGTCTATATATACGGTTGTACTCCTACACATTTAATCATTGAAAATATTCATTCTTCATGGTATCGGAGCCTATTCCAAAAAAAAAAACCCTAATTCTCCCTTCCTGCTCTCGGCTCTTCTCCCTCGGCGCTGCTCTTTCTCTCTCGGCCTTACTGCCGTAGCAGCCCCACCGTCCTCCTCCGTCGTCCCTCTCTCTCTCTCCCCTCATGGACTCCGACAAGATGACGGACAAATCTTCCTCCTCCTCCACCACCTCCTCAAATTCTCCCCACTTGGCGTTCACGGCTATATCTAACGTCAAGCTTCACGTCCCCATACAGTTGAGTTTTTCTCAACCTAATTACAAAAAATGGTGCCGCCTTTTCTTGCTCCTTGTTCGACGATTTAATCTCCACGGGTTTCTCTCCGGCTCTAAGATCCCCTCTTCCGCCGACGACGACGAATGGTTTCAACTTGATGCCTTGCTTCAAGGTTGGATTCTCTCCACGGTGACCGATGAGGTCTCCGACTTGGTCATCTCCTCCACTTCAACGGCCTCCGAACTTTGGCGGGTGATTCACGATCTCTTCCACGACAACAAACCGGCTCGAGCTATGCAATTGGAACACCAATTCTGCACTACAATCAAAGGAACTATGCCCATGGCCACATATTGTCAAACTCTCCGGAACATCGCCGATTTGCTAGATGACGTCGACGCCCCGGTCTCCGAATCACAGCTGGTGCTCCAACTCTTACGGGGTTTACCGGACGATCTCCAAGCCCAAACATCTTAGATGCAATTTCAACAACCCCAACCCCATTTTCTCCAAGTCCGGTCGGCGTTATTGCTTCTTGAACGTCAACGCCCCCACTCGATTGAGACTGGGACAGCCCTCGTCACCGGCCGAA